AAGAAAAACCACTAAGTACATTTTGACTTGTTTTTGTTTGTTAACTGCTGTTTTTGGCCGCAGTTCGCCTTGCGAATGAATGTTTCACAAGAATGCTGGGTTGTGAACAAAACTTTCCCCAGGCGGGACTAGAACCCGCAACAAACAAACAAACCTCTTGCTTACCAGGCAAGTGCGCTGAAAGTTACGCTACCAATTAGTTTCACAAATGCTCGGTCGCAAGCGAAGCTGTGGAAAAAAGGAGCAGTTAACAAACAAAAACAAGTCAAAATTCATTGCTAAAGCTTTCAGCCTCGCGGTCATTGCCGATATCGGCTAACCGGCTCAACACGTTATACGTGTGAGTGCTGACAAGCTATGGTACGTATACCATGAAAAGCTGAGTTGGAATGAAATGGTGCCCCGGTAGCGTAACTGGTAGCGCACTTGCCCGGAAAGCGAGAGGTGCGGGTTCTAGTCCCGCCTGGGGCGAAAGTTTTGTTCACAACCCAGTATTCTTGTGAAACTAAAATCAGAATTTTCCACTAAGAGAGGTAACAGAGTCAACTCAAAGTTTTTTTACGAGACCTCATTCGGAATGAAATCGTAGTACAGATTTTATGGTGATAGGGTAGAGCAGTTGTAGAGTAAGGGTAATAATATGGTTGAACAGCAGTTCATGATTATTACCATCATACCGCTATTGAAGCGAGCCACGACAATTTCCACCGTGCGAGATGGTTCTGCCCATGAAGTCTTATGGTTAGTGCTAGTCTGTTCTTTGCGCTAGAGATTCTACGACACCAATCGTAAGAACGTATTACAATTCGGTGAAACTCCAGTTGGGGGAGGGGCCATTTTTTCTCCAATACTCAAGATAAGGATTAGAGGGCTCACGACACGTAATCGACTCATTTAAAGTAGACTTCTGATAAATATTGGTGTAATGGGTGAGAAACCCTGAAACGTTTTCACATTTCCGCCTGCCATGACCCAAGGGAACGGTCCTGGACCAGGAGAAAGGACACCTCCGCAAAGGGCTAAGGGTGCAGGAGCTCCAGGGTGGATCACCTGTGCAGAAAAGTGGATGGGATGTGGGCAGGTAGTGTGGAATAGGTCCACCGGTCCTTATCAAAAGTACGCTCGAAATGAGTCGTTCACTTATTATCTTATCCGTAGTGTTCGATAGCCCAAAGAACTGCTCTCTAGTACTACGGATAAGATAGCAATGGAGTGCCCCCCCCCCGAACTGGAGTTTCACCGTTTTTAGTCCCCACACAGATGTCTCGTTTAGTGCAATTGAACGTAAACGTAGAAGGTAAGCTGTCACATTCTATGTCTCTATCTCGAATGACACCATCATGCTAGCTCCTCCTCAACCCGCCCTACCGAAGGTTACCTTTGAACTCAATCTCAAGCGCTGTAATATTATTTAAATCAAAAAATCCTGCATTGTTTATTCGCGATCCGCTCACGCATTAACGTTTTCAAGCCCAATGCAGAGACTAAAGAAATTTCATCTCGTCGGATCGCTTCGACGCTTGCCGCGCAATTTGCCGCGTGCCAGCCCGGATAAGCCAGAGTCATGCACCCCTCTATCCCCTCTCAAGTTAGCGCCGAAACAGCTACACTTACCTTACCACCTCCATGATGAGAGGAAATTCATTTTTTCCATCTATAGAAAACTTTCGTGCAGCGTGAGATCCTTTGCTATTTATGGGAAATTCACACAGTACATCCCATTTAACGGAAACGTAGACCTAAAAATGAAACACTCGGACTCAAGCATCCCTATCACATGAGTAGTCCTTATTCAGCCCTATTTCACTGCTCCCACCCGCTGTCTGGAATATGAGGTCATCACATCGATAGAGCTCAAGAATGCCTAAAGTAATTGCTCCAGACGGAGGCATAACTTGATTTATCGTGAATTTCGCCTTTGGAATTTTAGTGTCTCTTGCCAGGATTCATCTTTTGAACCCACTTACAGTAGAGGATTTTCCACTGTCGCCGTGTGCAAGTCTTAGTAGGAAATCGCCGTTCTTCTTGAGCTGGTTCATGATATCGTCGAGTGGTAAGCAACCGTGATACCACTCTTCTTTTTCGAGATCCTCAACGAATATATTCTCAAACCATGGGCAGATAATTATAAACATTAATCAATTGCTCTGGGGAACGGAGACAGTAACAGTTAAGACTGCACTCTTAGCGCGACGAACGGCAAACTTTTACGCCGCATACTTTATCTCCTTCGATCTACCATTCACGCAGTTTGCGATGTGCACTAGAACACGTTGTCTACCCTCCCTGTGTGAGAGGTGATTAGAATGTCATCGAAAACTCAACTTATTGTTAGGAGATTGTTCGAGGCAATGGCACATCTTCGCAGCGCAAAGTTTGTTAAGACTCACTCAACGGGCAGGGTCCGTCATTGTGTCAAGGGGATGAGATAGTTAGAAGCTTAGTACGCTAACTACGCTACTACCCCGCTAAATTTCAAATAAGTACCTCCTCCCGCCCTATTCCAACAATTGTACAGAGTGGCCAAATATACGGTGCAAGAGTGTGTGGCTCAAGACAGGGTCGCCGCGCAAGCGAAAGTAGGTCACCGCAAGCGGCGGCTACCGTATCCGGGTCCTTGCACTTTGAAATTTCTCAGGACTGAGCCGAAACAAATGCAGAAATGGGCCTACACACACGGAACAACAAAACAAGAAAAAAAGTTGTATCGATTGTCTGGTACCACACTTGGCAAACTGCCATGCTTCAATTTACAAAAACACCGTCGATGTCGTGCGCGGTGATCCAGTTTTAGCGCGGTGGTCCCGGGGACTCTTGACCGTCTCCTCCCGTCCGTTATCGGTAATCAGTGAGCATGATGAAATGCAAGCCTTGATTTTTGAGATTTGATTCCTTTTCTTCTGCCGCATCTCTACCTTTTCCAAGAAGGTAGCATTAAATAGTTGCGAGCGCCGTCCCTACTCAGGAGCGAGGTAATGTGGCGCGCAAGTTCTACTTAGGCCGCGTTCATAGTTCGCGACTCGGGAGATTAGGATAGTAGGCGATAGGATATTAGGATAGTAGTAGAGTAGGAGATTGCGCTGACAAGATTGGATACGTATCGATTGAAATCGCTGGAGAGTAGTAGATTGGGCGACTTCAAGCGAATAGATCAATACATATCTAATCTTGTCAGCGCAATCTCCTATCTACTACTATCCTAATCTACTACTATCCTAATCTCCCGTCAATACATATGTTTTTCATTGTCGCGTACTATCCTAATCTCCGGAGTCGCGAACTATGAACGCGGCCTTATGGAAGGTCTTTCAGG